AAATTGCTTGTTGCAGTTTTTCTGACCGTATAATGGCTTTTCTAATTTTTGTTTTAGTTAGAGCTAGAGTACCTCTCACAATACACATACCTTGTTGTTTATGCTTGCCCCCAGGAAAGACACGCCCACCATGATAACAATAACGTTAGCAAACCAAAAGCTTAAAATCAAAATCGTGGTCGTGTCATTATACTTGATGAATATCAAATGATAGAGCAGAAAGCAAACCAGCGGAATGTTGGTGACGTAAACGACAAGTGTTAAGAACTTGAATAAGTTATCCGCTTTTCTCACAGAGCCACATAACGACGAGTGCTGCCGTCGTAAAATTATCACCCTCCGTAGTCTATCGGCGGACGCAGTCAAGCGCATAGCCTTTCTAAGACGACCGCATTGATGAGTCAAAGTCAGGCAAACGGCTGTAAAGATAGCCAACGGCATCAGCCAGGCGGCTGTGCAGTACAAAGTAACTACAAAGCTAAGCACCTTCACTGCTATGTTGTCGATAGGGAGGGGGGACATTAGCGCTCTTGCAAGGAGTTGTAGGGATTCAGAGGGAAGAAAAGCAATTAAAGCGTTGAACACTGAATTTAATGCCATGAGGAAATATGTGACCAACAGTGTTCGCTTGATGGACTTTATCATGTATGGCTCAATTACCAATTCGTCAAAGTTCGGCTGAGAATTCCAATATGACATCAAACTTTTCAGACCGGACTTTTTGGATGTGATTTGCATAGTGAAGAAACAGATCGTAGCTTGTAGAGCGGTCTGCAGAAACCATAACATCATTGCAAGGACTAGGGTGTCATCGTGACGGTGGTCTTTATCGACCCAAAACGAAGCCAAAGTCTTGCCAAAGTTGAGCCAAAACACCAGTAAAACGAAGCACTGATACAAACGATTTGCAAATACAGAAGCTCGGCTTCGATTTGGCACTCCCTCATAATCCATTATATCGTCGATGAACAATCCAAACAGCTTCATAGGAAGGAACAAAGGTTGCAGCTTTGCAATGAAACAAATCTTTCTTGCATGATCGGTGTTCAGTGCGATTGCGTTTGCATTCTGAGTTAAACCTTGCTCATCCTTACTTCTCTCTCTAAACTCGTTTAAAATGATCACTGGGGAATCGACCTCGCCGTCAGTAGTGACTTTTGAGTTATCATTACCAAGTTGAGTACTCATCGTAATAATGCTTGCTGTCGAAGTTGTTTTCTGATTAATTAAGCGCTATACCTCCTTCAGCTACCCATAATAAAACTTATAGTCACGATACGCCCTATTAATCAACTTTGATACCCGCCTACTGAGAGGTGAACAAAGAAGACAGCAAAAGAACAGGAAAGATAAGAATTCAAGTATAAACACACGCGCACATTTACGTTCCGGTAAAACTGTTCAACAATAAACCCTACTCAGTCCACCGAAGGAAAACCTACTTACTTTCGGGAGGACTCAATATCGGAAGAGAGTGCATGGTGTTTGTTATCGAAACGAACAACTTGTTTGGGTTTATTATTGGAAGTGTTGTTGCGTTTAGATGCACACAGGTATGATGCATGGTAAAACTCATGCCCCGTCCATACTACGTCGAAGAAATTTGAAACCGCAGCATTTCTCCGGTTAGGCCTATCGTCCATACTAATCCGTCACGAAAACGGAGCTTTTCGAAAACGCTCTTCAAACTGGAGGAATTTGAAAACGCCTGCTTTGCGTTTTAGTGTGCAGGGAAAACATTTTGAAAACGGAGCTTTTAATTAGAAAATAATGGCACGTCGATAATCATGTGATTTCCCCGACCGAGTTTTACCCAAACACAAATGCAAAATGACCGGTGATTGTTGCGTTTTCAAATTCCTCCGGCGTAGTGTGGACGGAGAGCATTAAATGCGTTTTCAGGGTGAAACCTCAGTTTTCAAATTCCCCAGGGGTAGTGTGGACCAAGCCTGAGTAATAGTATGAAAGCTCGAGCAAATAAGGATTTACATTACTCGTGAATTTAAATTTCAAATTGCACTCGCCTTAAGACTCGCGCAGTTTTAAGAGAAAACAATTATA